AAACATTTTAATGCCAGATTGTTTGAAAAATAGAAATATTGTTTCAAGAACACTTTGTCTCTTTCTAAGTCTCCACGCACTTGAGAGCCAACACAACATATTATTAAAAAGAAGCTTTGCTGCCAGCTGTGTTAGACGTACCTGTAGTCCCAACATTTGAGAGGCAGAGGTGGGAGGCTAGTCTGAGCTACATAGCAAGACCCTGTCTCTAAAAACCTGAACAGGGCTCAGGATGTAGCTCAGTTGATAAAGTGCTTGCTGAACAAGCATGGGGACCTGAGTTTGGATCCTCAGCACCTACATAAAAAGCCAGACGAGGTGGAACAAGCCTGTAATACCAGCACTGGGAAGGAAGAAGAGGATCCCCAAGGCTTGTTAAGAGAGCAGCTAGTGTAGCTGAATCAGTGAGCTCCAGGTCCAGTGAGAGACCATGACCCCAAAATAAGGTGAAAAGCAATTTAGGACAGTACGCTGGCCTCCACACACATGCATGTTCACCCATACACACATACATGTACACACACAAAGAATAGAAAAAAACTAAAGGAAGCTTTTTTATAAACTTAGAACCAGCATTTCTCTGTCAGTATCTACACAGTTTTCTTTCTGTTTCACTTTCAATGAACACCATCAATGAAGAGACAGAACAGGGCAGGAAGTGGAGCATTGCAGAGGCATGAGCCAGAAAAGCCAGGGTAAGGACAAACATTCAGATCCATGATACAGAATCGAGAGTCCAGAAACTAACCTTCATGTGTTCAATCAATTGACTTAAAGGACAACAAGACACACACGACACAACAAACCTAAATATCAAGAGGATATAAACAACTCAAACATATCCACAACCAGCAACCAAGTTTTTAAAGAAAATGCTCCTCAAACTGTACCACAAAATGGAAAGGGAAGGAACAATAGCAAACACTTTCTATGAATCCAGCACAGCCCTGATACCAAAACCAGCACACAAAGGAAAAAAACTATACATCATTTTCTTGATGAACATAAATATAAAGAGTCGATAAAACTCTTACGAATCAGGGGCTGGAAAGCTGGCTCAGTGGTTAAGAGCACTGGATGTTCTTGCAGAGGACCTAGGTTTGATTCCCAGCACCCACATAGTGGCTAACAACCATCCGTAACTCCAGTTCCAGGGGAATCTGACATCATCTTCTGACCTCCACAGGCATTGCACAACACAGGTGCACTTACACACATGCAGGCAATACACTCATACACATAAAATAAAAATAAAATATTTCAAAAAACAAAAAACACAAATCAAATTTGAGAACAGATTAGGGAGATGAACCATAACCAAGTTGGCTTCATCCAAGGAAGCAAGGTTACTGGTTCAAAATATACAAATCAGTAAATCTAATATAGTACAAAAAATAGACTTGACAGAAATTACATGATTATCTCAAAAGACACCAAACAAAGGCCTTTGGCCAAGTTCAACATCCTTCATGATAGAAGCCCTGAGGAAACTAGGAATAGATGGAACACTTCTCAACCTAAAATAGGCTATATATGACAAACCTAGTGCTGACTATACCAAATGGGAAATAAATGAAGGCATTTCCACTAAAGTAGAGAATGAGATTCGAGTGCCACCACACAGTTCTTACGCATTACTATTCTATGCCTTAGCTAGAGCAAGAATCAAGAGAGAAACAAAATGGATACTGATATGACAGGAAGAAATCAACCATCCCTACTTGTAGACAACCGGAACCAACACTTAAAAGACAAGGTTTCCACCAGAAGCTCTTAGATCTCAAACATACTTTCAACGCAGTGTTTTTTCTCAAAAAAAAAATCTAAAAATAGAACTGCCATAAGACCTAGCTAACCAATTCGTGGGTATAGACCCAAAGGACTGCCAACATACCACAGAGATACCTGTACGTCCATATTTACTGCTGTACTGTTCACACTACTTAAAATGGAGCCAGTCTAAATGTCCATTAACAGGTCAACAGAAAAAAAAATGTTCATATATACAAAAAAAAATGTAGTCTTTCTATGTGTCCATAATAAACTTCATTTGAAGCAAGTTCATCATGGATATGTAGAAAAGTTACTGGGTTTTGTGTTTATTTTGCATCCTGCTGTTTGTCCAATTACTTCCATTTTCCTGGAAATACCATGATTTTTTTCTGATGACTGAATAAAATTTCATTATGTATAGGTCACATAAGAAAAGCCAAACTCAGAAAGACAAATATTTCATGTTTACTCTCATATGTGGAATCTAGATTTAAATTTGTGTGTATGTATTTGTATGTTTGTCTGTATGTATTTGTGTGTGTGGTTGTGTGTATGTGTGTGCATTTGTGTCTGATTGTGTGTATTTGTGTGTGTGTGTGCATTTATGCCTGTGGTTGTGGGTATTTTGTGGGTTTATGCATGTGTATTTGTGTCTATTGTGTGTTTGTATTTGTGTAATTTGTGTATCTATTTGTGTGTGTATTTGTGCATGTGTGTATGAATGTGTGTATATGTGTATATTTTTGTGTCTGCATGTACATATGTGTCTGTAGGTGTATGTGTGCCTGTGTGAGTGTTGTGTGTGTGTGTGTGTATGTGTGTTTGATGAAACAATAAAGTGAGCTGTAAGAGGGCAGGAAGAGGTACAAAGGGCTGAGGAAGGAGCTCAGAAGAGGAGAGTATTTGGATGGAGGAAAAGTTGAGGTCACAAGGATCATAGGGGAAAAATTAGAACAAAGTGTAAGTATACATGTATATGAAAATGCCATAAAGAAACCCATTATTTTGTAAGTTAATTTTAGAAATTAATTTTTTAAAGTCTTAGAAGAAAACAGGTAATTCTTCAAGACTTGATATATACAATGGATTCTTAAATATGACAAAAGCAAGAGCAACAAGGGAAAACATTGGCTTCATCTAAGTTAAACTTTGGGCATCAAGGAGATCATCAAGAAAATAAAAATACAGAGATGGCTCAGAAGTTAATGAACACTTGCTGCTGTTCCAGAAAACTCAAGTTCAGTCACCAGCACTCACATCTGAAGTCCCACAACTGCCTATAACTCCAGCTTCAGGGAATCTCACACCCTCTTCTGGCCTCTATAGGCACTGTACTTACATGCACAAACCCACACATTCACATACACATAATTAAGAATAAAATCTTTCAAAAGAAAAGACAACTAAATGCTGCATATGTCTGAAAATGGCTTAATATCCAAACTACGTGATGAACCATTACAACTCAACAATAATTTTTAAATAAACAAAGGGCTTGAATAAACATTTTTCTAAGAAAAATACAAATGGTCAATGGGCATATAAAAAACTGTTCAACATCACTAATCATTAGAGATGTGCAATTTAAAACCATAATGAGGAAACATTTTGCACCAGTGAAGAGGGACTGTCATCAAATAAGTGTCAGAGACGGTGTGTAGAAACTGAACCTCTTGTCCACTGCTCTTGGAGATGTAAAATGGCAACCAATGTGGAAAAGCTTGGCAGTTCCTCAAAATAAATAAATAAATAAATAAATAAATAAATAAATAAATAAATAAATAAATAAATAAATAAATAAATAAATAAATAAATAAATAAATAAATAAATAAATAAATAAATAAATAAATAAATAAATAAATAAATAAATAAATAAATAAATAAATAAATAAATAAATAAATAAATAAATAAATAAATAAATAAATAAATAAATAAATAAATAAATAAATAAATAAATAAATAAATAAATAAATAAATAAATAAATAAATAAATAAATAAATAAATAAAAAAAATAAAATAATCATATAAACTAGTAATTTTACTCCCAGATACAAGCCCAAAACAGGATTCAAACAAGTACTTGTATGCAAATATTCATTGTATTATCCATAGCAGCCACTAAATGGAAAGTCGAGTGCCCAAAACTGAAGACTGGAGAAACAAAGTGTGAAATGCACACAGGCAATGAAATACTATTCTGCCCCTAAAAGAAATGAAGCTGTGGTCAATGCTACAACATGAACAGTGCACTATAAGCCAGACGCAAAAGGACAAATACTGAATGATCCCACTTACATTACGCAGCTCGAATAAGTGAATTCTTAGAAACAGGAAGTAAATTAGCAATGCCTGGGGGCAGGGGTAGCGGTAGGATCAGGCACATCTTCCTAGGCTTAAATAACTGCCTAAAATGCATGTGAGAATAAATAACTTAGCAATTATACTAAAAGTGAGAGAATCATATATGTTAGATGGGTAAATTTTATGGCATGTTATATCTCAATTGAGTAATTTTTTTTAAAAAAGAAGAAAGATGCTTCAGAAAGGAAAACTTTTCCTGTAGAGTTTTTTACTCCCAGGAGAAAATAGTTGTCATGAGGAGGTGTATTTACCCTCCATTCACACAACCAGGTCATCAGATACAACCTGTTAACTAGGTTTCTTCTCTAGTCTGTTAGGTTTGGAGGAAGAGAGAGAAGACAAGATAGAGAGGTGCCAAGTGGAATTATCTTTCAGAAAGATTTATTAACACTACAGCAAGTCATACCTCAGGAGTCTGAAGTAATAAGCTTCAGTTCCATCAGACAAGAGAAGGGAGTCTTGTACCACAAGGAAGCAGGCTTAGCTACTATGTGACCCATGCTACTTGACAGAGGTAGGAGTGGGGTACACATGACAGGGGTTACTCATTCTCTGGATAGGGGAGTATGGCTTGGTTAATACGTGACCCATTTTATTAGTTATTTTTCTGTTGTGATAAAACACCATGACAAGGCCACTTACAGAAGAAAGAGTTTATGGGGCTTAGGGTTTGAGAGTGATGGGTC